TCAGCAGTGGATTTCTACCATGAGAAAGTAGGATTTTCATTTCATTTTCTCATCTCTTTGTTGTTTACAAGTATGAAAGAGTCCAGTTAAAGTCATTTATTAAATGCCTTCTATCTGCGAAGTCATGTCATTGTCACCGGTAAAGTGACCAACTATCTCTTGTTTTCCTGGGACATTCCTGGTCTTAGCTTTGCAAGTTCTGAGTCCTGAGAAGCCCCTCCATTGTAGACAACCCTGGGAGACCATCAAAAGTATGTGCTTGCAGGCTGCCTCTTGCTGTCAAAGAACTTATAGTTTCCAGGGCATGAGAAAGCAATAGATGTAAATAAATCAGTTAAAATAAAAATATAAACAACTATATAGTTTTCCTAGATCACCATATCCAGATGATTGATATAGACGATAACTATAGGGCATCAGAAAAAAAGGGAGATTGAATGTTGTAAAGTCCTAGATATACTGTTTTCCAATTGGTTGTACTTGAACCAGACCACTCCTGAACATAGGTCATTATATTGCTTTTATAAGTGTATCCAAGACATACGTTTTCCACTAGTAATGAAGTATAGATGCTTCTTCTCAGAATAATTTAAACCAATCCCATATTCTTTTCATTTTAATTAGTTTGTAAATTTGATTGCCTAGGTACCTAGGAATAATCATCCTATTTCTTTTACTTTCTTCACACTTCAGATACTCTTACTATGCGATCTGGATTTGAAATGGTAGAATTTCCAGCTAGGAGATGGGAGGAGGGTGGTTGCAGAATTAATCTTTTGCTAGAATTTAGAAGTCTCTGCATTGACATCTGAGAAATATATCAGAACATAGGAAACTATTATTTTAGTATATATTATATCACTATATTGGGCTGCTCATTGACACAGTTCACCAGCCCCTTAGATTTCCCTCTTTGCACCACCCTCCAACCCTGCATTACCTTCCACCACCACTATCACACTGAATCTTTTGATCTGGTGGGCATGCTTCCTACATTAGAGGTCTGAAATATTTATGATCTGGACTTTCTCCTATTAATCTGGTAAGTTGAGAATATGATCCCAAGAAAGCAGTGTATTCCATAGCTATATGTGTATGGATTTCAATTCTTTTTAGGTGGCTGCAGAATTCGGGTTCAGGGGGACTGGACCAGAGAGCGCCACTTTGAAATCCCTAATGAGGAACGCCGTTTGAAGTTCCTGTCAGAGGTCCTTGCTGCCCAAGAAGGTAACTCAAGACTCCTCAGTTTTCTTTCTACTATTTGAATAGGAGTGAAGTTCTGACATGCTGATACAGAAGCAAGTGGCCATGAACAAAGTACCTCACCTCCTGAGTCTTCATAGCTGATTTTTTTAAAAATTCAAGAATAAACCCAGGGATGGGTTAGGGAATAAGTCTATTCAGCTTTAAGGACACTGAGCCAGTTTCCAGAATCTCCATTACAGTTTACTACATGTCAGCTTACTACAGAGTGTAATCTGCCTTCTGTCCCCAAATGATTCCCAAGCTGCCCTCATTTTCTTAGTGTCTTCCTTTACATTCAAGAATGCTGCTGGCCCTGCATTTGAGGAGTGCTGAGTGAATGGCTTTTGGTTGTCGTAAATTCCACCCAATGACGGGGCTCCCCAGTTTCTGACCATGACCCTTATCTCTCCAGCACATTCACAACTTCTTGTTCCAGAACAAAAGGACTCATCCAGCTGGTACCAGAAATTAGACACTAAGCATCCACCTTCTCGTTTTTCAGGTACTGAAAAGATTCTTTTTTTCTGGTTGCTTTGATCATTTCAGAGTCAATAGATTTTATCTAGATAGATAATATAATGTGGATTAATATCAGTGTCAGGCATCTCTTATGGCACTGATGGCGAACCTATGACATGCGTGTCAGAGGTGACACATGAACTCATTTTTTTGGATGATTTTTCTTTGTTAAATGGCATTTAAATATATAAAATAAATATCAAAAATATAAATCTTTGTTTTACTATGATTGCAAATATCAAAACATTTCTATATGTGACACGGCACCAGAGTTAAGTTAGGGTTTTTCAAAATGCTGACATGCCGAGCTCAAAAGGTTCACCATCACTGTCCTACGGAGTGGTTTTATGGAGTCCATGCCCACTGATCAAGGTGCACTCCTGATCCTTTCCGTGGCATATTAGCTCTTCAGGAGCCAGCTTAGCAGTGTGGTTTAAAAAAAAATGCAAGCTCCAAGGCCATACTGCCTTGGTTTGAATCCCAAATTCTACAACTTACTAGTTATATGACCTTGGTCAAGTTGCTCAACAACTCAGAGCTTCCATTTTTTTTTTCTGTAACATGGGAAGATTTTTAATAGCACTGACCTCACGAGGTCTTTGTGATGATTAAGCAAGATAAGATATAATCCCTCACTATCAACCAGGCATTGTGCTAAATCTTCAATAAATGTTAGCGCTCATTATTTAAGGTTCAAATTAACTGTTCTAGTTAATGTGTTAATGCTCAAATCAAACCCACTGATCAAAGCAAAGCCCTATTTGTCCTGGATAAGTTGCATGTTATCCCCCCCACTCCCACCCCCTGGTTTGATGATGGATTCTGTGTCCTTCAGGGCTTCTTGGATTTGAGGATAATTTTTCAATTATGAATTTGGAGAAGAAAAATTCACAAAGTCAGCCTATTGGGGTTCACCGGGAACCTCCACCCCCACCCCCTTCAGTGAGCAGAATGTAAGTCCTATGTCAAAACATATTTCCCATGTAGAACACTTCTATTTTAGGCAGTTTAACTTTTGGATTTCTCATTTATTTGCTAGGCTTCCACGTGACAAAGAAGCTACTAACAAGGAACAGCCCAAAGTGACCGATACCATGCGAAAGCTCTTTGTACCAAATAACCAGTCTGGGCAGCGGGAAGGTCTCATCAAACATATCCTGGCAAAGCGAGAGAAAGAGTATGTCAACATTCAGACTTTCAGGTAAGTCTGTCTTGCACTACTGAAGTATAGCAGAAAATGGCCTTTTGATATTTAAGGTATTAGTTTAATTAGCTTAATTAAGAATCAAGGCATAATGAAAAGGAATGGTTAACTGATTCAAGCCCCTATGTCACGCATGTCAGAGGTGACACGCAAACTCATTTTTTTGGTTGATTTTTCTTTGTTAAATAGCATTTAAATATATAAAATAAATATCAAAAATATAAATCTTTGTTTTACTATGGTTGCAAATATCAAAAAATTTCTATGTGTGACACGGCACCAGAGTTAAGTTAGGGTTTTTCAAAATCCTGACACGCCGAGCTCAAAAGGTTCGCCATCACTGCCCTATGTCTATCCGAAATAATACAAATGCCACAATTTCCCTTGTATTTTCTAACTACTAATGATACTATGTCTACTAATGTTTCTGTCTACTCTTAGGGAACCAGATCAAGCTCACATGTACCAGAGCAGTAATTTTTAATTAGTATACGTCAAGAATTTTTAAAACATGCAATACCCAATTATTTAGTCAGGGACACTGACCTCTTTTCCATTAGATCATCAAATAAAAACATGACAACAACCAACACAGCAAAGCTGTCTGGTGTGAATGAATCAAAATTATACCTATTTTTCATCAGAGACAAAAGTATATTTTTTGTTGTGCTGCAGAATTTTAGTAATTAGTTTATGTGCCACGAGATGAAAAAGGTTGAAAGTCACTGTACTAGAGAATTGTCCCGTAGCACAGTCCATAAGCAAGTGCGTTTATCTATCTGGCCTGCTGAATTTTTCCCCACCAATATTGGAAAGTTAAAGTCTACCATAACCACTAGATCTTAACTTACTTACTTTGGTAGTTAACTAAAGAACATTTCACCTAATCCTCTTGGTGGGGAGGTATGTCTTAGATTCTTTCCTCTATATTATATTTTTCATGTCACACTTACATGTTGATATCTTCTTTTCTGGATGCAATGTGTGGTATGTGGTGTGGCATGGCCTGGTGTATATTCCAATGTACAAAGCAATAACACTTTTCTTTATTTGTGAACAGCATGTACCCTTCTGTTCCAAGATTCCAGTCCCATCTGCTATCCCATTATGCCTCATTTATTCTAATTCAATCATAGCTATATCCCTATGCTAAAACCTTCAGTTCCTTATAGCCCTCATGATGCTTACATTTGTATGTAAACAGTTAAGACAATCAGAAGTTTTCCCCCGTAAAACTATATCTTACTTCCAGGATTACAGATACCTGTAATTTTTTTTTTAAATTTTATTTTTTATTACAAAGGGTATTACATATGTGTCCATTTTTTTCCCCGCCCTAGACAGTCCCCTAGCCTCCCCTATTCCCCAGTGTCTTATGTCCATTGGTTATGCTTATATGCATGCATACAAGTCCTTTGGTTGATCTCTTACCCCCCTACCTCCCACCCCCCAACCCTCCCCGGCCTTCCCGCTGCAGTTTGACACTCTGTTTGAGGCCGCTCTGCCTCTGTATCTATTATTGTTTAAAAGTTTATAATGGTCTCAATTATCCATGAGTAAGTGAGATCATGTGGTATTTTTCCTTCATTGACTGGCTTATTTCACTTAGCATAATGCTCTCCAGTTCCATCCACACTGTTGCGAATGGTAGAAGTTCCTTCCTTTTCACAGCAGCATAGGATTCCATTGTGTA